CCGCACGCGTAGGGCTTCTCCCCGGTGTGCGACCTCCTGTGTCTCCTAAGGTCCCCCTGTTGTGTAAAGCCCCGCCCACACTCCCCGCACGCGTAGGGCTTCTCCCCGGTGTGTGTTCTTCGGTGCAGGACGAGGGCTGACTGCTGTGTGAAGCCCCGCCCACACTCCCCGCACGCGTAGGGCCTCTCCCCGGTGTGCGTCCTCCGGTGCACCACGAGGCGTGATCCTCGGCTAAAGCGCCGCCCGCAGTCCCCGCAGACGTGGCGCCCCTCCCCTGCCTGCGCCCCCCGGGGCCCGCCCTTTGGCGCTGCACAGCGGCCTGGCTCCCCCCCTCCACCTCTGCCGGCTGCGGTCTGCGGGCTCCCCCCTCGCTCCCGGGGAGCGCCCGGACCCCGCGGACCCACGCTCTGGCCTGCGCTCTGCCCCTCCGCGTTCGCCCCCTCGGTCTCCCCGGACCTCCCCCGCGGTCCCTCGCCAGGGCTTGGGGCGACCCCCGGGCTCCCCTTTCTCGCCGTCCCTAGGGGCGAATGGCGGGGACCCCCTTGGGGCTGCTCCCCTCCCCCTCCGCCACTCGGGCCCTGAGCGTGGGAACGCCGCGCCCCGAGGGGGTCCCCGGGACAGGCCGCCAGCGGTGGGAGCGGGCTCCTCGCGGCTGATCCCGGGGGAAGCTGCGACGGGTGGCGGCGCCGGACGTGTGCGCTGAGGAATTGCGGGGCGGAGAAGGCCAGAGGGCACGCGGGACACGGGTGAATGGTGGCCTTCGCTTCCGCTGAAAGGAGCAGCGGTGTCAGGGCGCAGGGCCGCTCCGCCGAGGGAGCCCGCACGCCCGACCCGCCGCCCCCGCCACGGCCCTCCCCAACCCCCCGGCCTGCTGCACCCTTCCCTGGCGGCGCTCCCCAGGGGTTCGGCCGCTGCCCGCGCGGTCCCCACGCTCCGCTGCGCACTGGGGTCTGCATTCCTGTCCCAGGCAGGAACCCGCGTGACAGCGAGCTGCGCCACAACAGCCTGCGGCCCGGCGCACGGCGGAGGGTTACGGGCATCTAAAGGGCCCGCGTGGGCGCTCAGCCTTTCCGCGCCGCCCGGGGAGCTGCCTGCACCCCGGAAGCTCGGAAGGTGCACCGCGCAGGCCCGAGACCCACTTTCGCAGCGTGCAGGATGCGAGCGCGCCTCCCCCGGGAGACTGAACCCCGCGCGTGGGCACCCCCGGCCGGCAGGCCGACACCCCGGGGCTCCCCCGGCGCCCACCTCTCGGGGGCGCGCGCTGGCTCCTGCGCTTCCGGCCCCACGCGAGCCCCAGCTCCTGGCCGTAGTCGTCCCCGTACCACACCAGCAGCTCGGCGCCCGGCGGCACGGCCCGGAAGGTGCGGTAGTAGATGCGCCGGCGGTGCTGGAAGGCCACGAGGTTCTGCTCCTCCTCGTCGCGGGCGCAGTTCACGTACCTGCGGAGGCCGGGAGGACGCGGCGCATGTGGCAGCTGCGGGGCCGCGCGGGCGGGCGGCGTGGGGCCGGTGACGCGGGACTCCCGTGACCCCGGCTGGGCGCTCCAGAGCTGCCCGCGCTGCGTCCTGCGGGCCTCGGACGTGCGGGGACAGAAGGCCAGCTCGCCACGCACACACTCATCGCCTTGTCCGCATGTCGCCGGGTGGACGGCGCCGAGCAGAGCCCCGCGAGGGCGGCAGGAGCCGGCGCGGGGGACACACAGGCACCCCGGAGGCCCGCGCTCACCTCATCCAGTTGGCCTGCGACGTGTCCTTGCCGTCCACGTACTCGTAGCGGTGGCGCCCCGTGACCACCTAGTGCGGGCGAGGCGGGGCAGGGCGCTCAGGCAGGGACGCCGCCGCCGCCGCCGCAC